CTGGGCGGCCTCGGCCTCGCTGCTCGCCTCGCTCTCCTCCTGGCCGCGGCGGGCCGCTGCGCGGGCGGCCAACGGCGGCCACGGCGGCCACGGCCGGTGGCCAGGGCGGTCGCGGAGACCACGGATTACCAGCCAGGAACATATCCCTATCCCTATGCTGGGCATATCCTCACCACGATGCCAATCTTGGGGATTCCCTTATTTGGCGTGTCAATTTTAGGGATTGGGATACGTTCGAGGCTGGTAAACGGAGGCCTCCTGGCCGCGGCGGGCTGGTGGGCGGAGGCCCGTGGCCGCGGAGGGGGGAGGAGAGCGGAGACGAGGGAGGTGACTACCTACCAGACCACCCCAACCCAACCCGAAGACCCGAATTTCGGGTTGGGTGGGGTATGGGCTTCAGATGTGTTTTTTAGATGTTCTCCGACCCCCCCCCACTGGAAATGGAGGGCAAATCGAGACCTTCAGGTTGGGTTGGGGTGGTTGGATGGGTGGTGAGGAGAGGGCAAGGCAAGGCAAAACTCTGGGAAGGGGGAGGGCCAGCGCGCGAGCGAGGACAGGCGGGTCGCGGCGACCGAGTCGGAGCACCGCCCCCTGCAACGGCGGCGGCGGCGCACCGCGTCCCCCTCCTCGTCGCCCTCCGGCGCCGCTCCCTCGCTGGAGGCCTCCGCCCCAGCGACCTCGGGCCTCGCGTCGGCGGCAGGGGCGGCCAGGGGGGCGGGGCTGCTCGTGCTTCCGTGGGGCGAGAAAGCAGGTCTCAGACGATGAGGTATGTGTTAGGTCGGGCATGTCCCTCTGCAGACGGGTTTTGGACGACAGATGAGCAATGCCCCCCAAAAAATGCCCCCAAAAGACAATCAAAAAAACACGCCCCCCGACAATTTGGTTTACTATGTTTAACTACTCCTCCTGTAGAGGGGCATGCCGGACTTACGATTTGTGCCATCCAGGGGGGCCCTCGATTTGCGTCTCTGGGGCCCGGTCCCCGGCCCTGGGGCTTCGAGGAGGAGCCCGGGGGAAGAGCTGGCCCTGGGGCAAGGGTAGGGACATCTCTGGGGCCGCGCGTGGAAACAGAAACACACCGGCGGATGTCGAGGAAGGATGGGGTGATGTCCTGTCATTGCAGCCATAGTTGGGGCATCCCTGGTCTCGCTGGTTTCCATTCCTCCTCCTCGTCCAATTCCTCCTCCTCCTCCTGCTCAACCTCCTCCTCCTCCTCCTCCTCCTTTTCCTCTTCCTCCTCCTCCTCTTCCTCCTCCTCCTCCTCCTCTTCCTCCTCCTCTTCCTCCTCCGCCTCCTCGTCCAATTCCTCCTCCTCCTGCTCAACCTCCTCCTCTTCCTCCTCCTCCTCCTGGGGAGGGGGGACCAGCGCCGCTCCAAGAAGTCCACGCGCGGCTCCGCGTATTTACTTGTACGCCGATGCTATGTTTCGAAGCGTGACAGGAACAGGATGAGAATATGATGTGATTGCTTCATAGTCCTCGTAAATAAGAATATGATGCGATAAGTTATCCTCTTTCTCCCCTTCTGTGTCGCCCCCTCGTATTCCGCATCGTCCACTTCATACTCCTCACCCATCTGCCTTCGTCCCTCAATAGTTATTCCCCATTGCTTCATCTCATCCCCCCTCGTGCGTACTTCATCCACCTCACCCGCCTCATCAGCAACATCATCAGCATCGGAATCATCATCATCGTCATCGTCATCATCGCATCATCAGCAGCACCACCAACGTCATCAGCCTCATCAGCACAAACACCACCACCAACATGACCATCACCATCAACACCACAATCACCATCACCACCTTCACTAGTATCATCAGCATCATCAGCAGCATCCTCATCATCAGCATCATCATCAGCAGCATCATCACGGTCGTCGTCATCATCATAATCAGCATCAGCAGTATCATCATCATCCTCATCATCATCATCACCAGCAGCATCATCAGCACGTGCATCATCATCATCAACATCATCATCATAATCAATATCATCACCAGCATCATCATCAGCAGCATCATCGTCGCAATCGACAAATCCAGCATAACCAGCAACGTCGTCAAACCCGCATCGCCAACACACCATGATCACAATCACCACCATCACCACAACCACCACCATCACCGTTATCACCACCAACAACACCGTCATCACCATTATCACCATCACCACCAACACCATCATCACCGTCACCACCACCAGCATCATCATCATCAGCAGCAGCATCATCAGCCATCATCATCATCGTCAGCAGCATCACCAGCAGCATCGTCGTCATCACCACCACCACAATCACCACCACCAACACCAGCATCATCACCATCACCACAACAACCATCATCATCATCATCATCATCATCATCATCATCATCAGCATCACCACCATCATCACCATCACTACCAGCGCCATCAGCATCATCGCCATCATCACGATCATCATCATCATCAGCATCCTCATCATCATCATCGGAAACACCATCACCACCACCAAAATGCCACCATCATCATCATCACAAACACCACCATCACCAGCATCAGCATCAGTCTCATCAGGATCAACACTAGCGTGATCATCATCGCCACCATCACAACCACCACCACCATCCTCATGGTCATCACCACCACCACCATCATCGTCATCATCAGCAGCATCGGTACCATCACAACAATCACCACCACCATAATCACCATCCACACCACCACCATCATCACAATCACCACCACCATCATAACCAGCATCGTCGTCAAACCAGAATCGCCAACATCATCAGCATCCGGTTCTTGTCGTCATTTGCACGATTGAAACCATCCAGAACCCCTAATCGTGCATTTCGTTATGTTCACCCTCCCTCCTCCATCCACCATCATTCTCCTCATCCTCCTCTTTCTACAGATCCTCATGATCCTCACCATCAGCCACTTCGCATTGTTACTGCTCCTCATCCTCAACATCCTACGCATCCACCCACCTTCTCCCCATCCTCTTCTGTCTGCTCCTCCTTCCTCCTCCCTCCTCCTTCTACTCATCCGCCTCGCTGCCCCCCTCCTCCCCCCCCCGCCCCCCTCGCTACGTCATTCTGTCTCTGATCCAACTATCCCTTCCCCAACCCCCGTCTCCGCCTGCCTCGCTCGTACCCCTCCTCCTCCTCCTCCCACTCCTCCTCTACTCCTCCTCCTCCTCCTCCTCCTCCTCCTCCTCCTCCTCCTCCCCATCACCATCACCACCCAACCCAACACCACAGTCAGCATCATCACCATCAGCATCGTCATAAACACCATCACCATATAATCAACATCACCATCAACATCACAATCACCATCACCATCGTCATCACCACCATCACCACAATGATCATCAGCATCATAACCACCCGCCATCACCATGATCACCACCAGCACAATCACTGCCACAACCACGATCACCACAATCATCGCCACTATCATCACCATCCATCACCAATATCACCATCACCAGCAACACCATTAGCTTCATCATCATCACCATCACCACCTTCACCATCATCATTATCACCACCACCATCAGCATCACCACCGACCATCACCACCATCACCACCACCTCCATCATCACCACCAACACCATCATCGCCATCACCACCACCATGATCATCATCCTCATCATCATCATCATCATCCTCATCATCATCATCATCATCATTGCCACCATCATCACCATCATCACCACCATCATCGTCAGCATCACCAACAGAATCATCGTCATCACCACCACCACCAATCACCACCACCATCACCACCATCATCACCATCACCACCACCACCACCATCATCATCATCAGCATCATCGTCATCATCACCACCAACATCACCATCACCACCACCGCCATCAGCATCAGCATCATCACGATCACCATCATGATCAGCATCCTCATCATCATCGGAAACACCATCACAACCACCATTACCCCCACACACCACCATCATCCTCAGCATCATCACAAACACCACCATCACCAGCATCAGCATCAGTCTCATCAGGATCAACACTAGCGTGATCATCATCGCCACCATACAAACCACCACCACCATCCTCATGGTCATCACCACCACCACGTCCATCATCGTCATCATCAGCAGCATCAGTACCATCACCACCATCACCACCACCATAATCACCATCGACACCACCAACATCATCATAATCACCACCACCATCATTAACATCGCCACCACCACCACCACCATCATCGTCAGCAGCAGCAGCAGCATCACCACTAGCGTCATCATCAGCATCCCCGCACCACCACCATCGCCACCACCATCACTATCATCATCACCATCAGCATCACCATCACCATCACCATCGTCAACCACCACCACCATCACCATCACCAGTATCACCATCATCATCACCAGAATCATCTTCATCGTAGTCACGATCACCAACACCGTTATCGCCATCACCACCACCATTACCACCACAGCCGACACCGCCACCATCCATAATCATCGTCAGCAGCATCTACATTAGCGTCATCATCATCACCACTACCATCACATCCACCACTTCCATTCATCAGCATCGTCACCATCAGCATCATCATAACCACCACCAGCAACACCATCCTCATCGCCACCATTAGCATCACATTCACAACCACCGGCACCACCAGCATCACCATCACAACTACCACCATCACCATCACCGCAACCACCATCACCATCATCATCAACATGAGCATCATCAGCATCACCATGAACTTCATCGTCACCATCAACACCATCACCACCACGACCACTATCATCATCATCACCACCACCAGCATCACCTGCGCTACCATCACCACCATTACCACCACCATCATGACCACTACCATCACCACCACAAACACAATCGCCACGACCACCATCATCAACATCACCACCACCACCACCACCCTCAGCATCTTCAGCACCAGCATCATCTGCAGCATCAGCATCACCATTTACTCCATCATCACCACCACACCCAACATCACCATCACCACCACCATCATCATCACCACCACCATCACAACACCCATCATCATCACCACCACCATCATTATCAGCATCATCACCACAACATTCACCACCATCACCACCACTATAATCACAATCACTACCACCACCACCAGCATCAGCATCAGCATCATCACCGTCACCACCATCACCATAACTACCACCACCATCATCACCATCATCATTATCATCAGCAGCAGCATCACCATAAAATGCATCATCAGTCTCATCATCATCATCAACACAACCGCCTTCACCACCATCATCATCATGACCACCATCACCACAGCCATCATCATGATGATCATCACCACCACCACGGTCCTCATCACCACAACCATCGCCACCACCACAATCACCATCATCACCACCACAGCAATCACCACCACCACCACCATAATCGTCATCCTCATCACCACCAGCATCATCATCATCACCAAAGTCATATTTAGAATTACCATCATCATCACCACCACCATCATCATCATCACCATCATCACCACCATCACCATCATCATCAACATCACCATTATCAGCAGCATCATCGTCATCACCATAACCACAGTCACCACCACCATCACCATCATCGTCACCATCACCACCACCACCACCACCACCATCATCAGCATCATCATCATCATCATCATCGTCACCATCACCATCAT